TTTTTCTTTTTTTTTTTTTTCCGGAACCGGGGATTGAACTCATGCTCTTGCGCTTGCCAGGGAAGCACTTATTCCACTGAGCCATCTCCCTGGCCCTGTATCCTTATTTCTTAAGCAGTTGGTGTCTCACTATTAAGAAAGGTGCTGCAAAACCAGATCCAAAGTACAAGGTCATCATATCTAGCACCCACCACTTGTTTTCCATAGAAAACGGCAAAATAAATAAATAATAATGATAATTTTTTTTTTCTTTTTGCAGTACCAAACTGAGGACCTTGCACTTACCAGGCAAGCCCTTGTTCCACTGAGCTATCTTGTCAGGCCAAAAAATGATAAACTCTTCCCAGGGCCCAACTCATAGTGGCTGCTACGCACCACAGAGGTTGTGAACCTCCGGGTACTCTGCCCCAACATGATGCTGCAGGAAGCTCTGCGAAGGGGGAAGAAATGGTTGCAGAACTCGAGCCTACCCTCACGACTTTGTCCCTCAAGATGAGGAGACCCTCCCAAAAAAGCTTCACTGTTTTTTTGAACCCCTCCCTCTGGCTTGCCCCCCACATCCCCGCCACCACAGGACAGAGTTTTCCCTGTCTTGGCCTAAGCAGATGCCAGGCCCTGGGGAGGTAAGGGCAAAAAAAAACTTTCTGAAGCCAGCAGCTAGGGTGGAGTGTCCTCTGGTCTACTGGAGGGCATTTGGGATTGGGGTATGGGGGGTGGGGTCACGATTTCTGGGGGAAAGGTGAATCATCTCAGGAGGGAAGATTTAGGGTCAGCGGTCTGCCAGGGCTGGGACCTGGTATAGCAGTATCAGGAACCACAGGAGACCAACAGTTATGGAAGGTGGGTCCAGCCTGTCCCTGAGCATACCCTATGGATCCTCCTAAGGCCAGTCCAGGGAGGGTCCCCTGCTCGCAGACTATGAGAGTGTTATTAGTGTCATTGTGTTATTAGTGTCGCTGTGGTCACAGCTTCACAACTGCTTACTCTGTCCTGGTGAGCCCAGAAGGTGGGAGGCATCTTCACTTTGCACATTGCCAGTTCACCAGGCCTTACCCAGAGGCGCTTACCCAGTGTTTGTTGAATGGATTCACAGAGGCCTGGTTTCAAGTCTTGGCCTGATTCCTTAACTAATGAACTTTAATTTCCTGTCCCTAAAACTAAATGGTAATAGTAAATTCAAAACATTCTTTTTAAATTTTGCTCTTTTATTTTTCAGGGTGAAATAAGAAAAATATTTAAGCACTTTGTCACAATGCTTAGTTCATAATTGCCAAATATATGACAGTATAATTAGAGTATGGCTACAATGAGCATGCAGGGCAAAAAAAGAAAGAAAAAGCAATTACAGCATGGGGTGGATTATTAAATGTTGTAAGCATCTCAAAAATTCTTTCTCTGGGGCTGGAGAGATGGCTCAGTGGTCTAAAGCACCTACTTAGAACAAGCTTAACAAAAGCATCAGGGACCGCGGTTCAATCCCCCAGCACCACATGCCAGCCAGCCCCGCCCCCTGGTGGGCTGAGCTGGCCTCTC